GGCCTCGTATTTCAAAAAGTAGGTGAAAATATGTTGTAATATATTTCATACATTTGGTATATAAAAATTCGATTAAAAAATCGTATATAATATTATATAGTATATGTGAAAAATATACTAAAAATGTATATGAAATATATGAGCAATATTTAAATTATATTCTTATAATTTCGCAATAACGCTCTTCGCTGTCGCGAAGCGGCAATCGCACGTTACACTTTCTCCTATTTAAAAATTAACCAACAGCAGTATATGTATAAGAAGTGGCGAGAAATCAAATCTAACAGTTGTGGCAAATGAAATCAATTTGTCTCCGCTGGTAGAGCGTTGAGAACCTAAATTCTAAGATACTTAGAATACCTAATGCAATATTCCTTTTAATGTTTTTACATAAAATATATGATAAAATATAAAAAATATACAATGCATACATTAGACGTATATAATTATATGCCCAGCTATGTATTATAATGTATATATCATACATTTTATTATATATTTTTAATACATATGAATGATATATGAAAAATTGCAATTTATTGGTATTACATATATAGTAGTAGTAGTAGTAGTAGTATATTTTTTATAGCTCATATACGAGTAATATAAAACGAATGTATAATTTCTACTTTTCGTTATATACATATAATGAAATATATATTTTTCCGTGGGGGCGACTCTCGTATTTTACGAAGACCCGTGGCTTTTGAATAATTGGAGAGGTACCTACATTTAAACCTCTGTTTCAACGAATTAATAGACTTTATACGGCCTAGTTGCACTTGGTTGATATAGTAGGATGCTTTCTTACGAGCCGTTCGAGCAGTAGATCGTGGCCCTGCGGTGAAGCTATCGTGTATTTTGCAACGTATACGCGACGTATATGCGCGTCACGACATTTGGCAATTACCTCGGCATGTACGAACACTCGATACGCGCCGTATGACGTCGCCCGGGCGAATACTCGTGCGGAGGACAAGCTATAAACGGTATAAGCGGCAACGAGCGGCGCACTAAAACGCGTCCCGAGACGCGTTTCGACTGTTGAACATCTAATGCATCGGGAGTCGCGCCATAGTCGAGCGGGATTGGCGCGGGCTCCGGGGGGTTCGCGTACACCTCGACGTGTATAAGGTTGCCCCGCTTCGCGAATATCGACATTTGTAATTTTATTTCATTAATAAATCGACCCGTCGCCACGTTTTTCACTTCACTTTGCCAGACGTGACACCGAGAAGCGTTCGGAGGGAAAAGCGGCAAGTGGCGTGAAGTGGTAGGACAGCTCGCGTTGTCAGAATGTACCCGGAGGACAGCTCGATCCCCCTTTTCGCTGCCTCGCGGTGTGCCTGAGCTGTTTAGCTAGCATGCCACTGCATCACCCTGCGGGGGCGGCAGGTACACGCACCGGCGCATATTTCGCGGAAATGCTTTAGTGCTTTCGTGCGTTGCCGACGAGCATGTATATACATTAACGAACGATACCATCGCCGTGTAATATTTGCTCCGGGGCTCTCTCGTTTCCCCATTATCGCCGTCGAGCCCGTCGACGTTGCGGCAAAGGCCGTCGCTTTCGATCGCCTCGACGATTGTGATTTGCGCCGCCATCGCCGCCGCCACCCTCGCCGTCTGTAACGCGCGCGTAACCAATCATCTGTTTATCTGTTATTTTCCTGCTCGATAGTCCGCAAACTAATTCCAGCGGGGGGGGAGGGGGGCGAGAGAAACGCGGCGCGTTCCTCTCCCCGCGTCGATCTCTCCGTCGCGGCGCTTCATATTCTCTCGATGTATTTACCGAAAAATGCACCTCGCCGCCCGCCTAAAGAATTAACAGCCCGAGTGCGGGTATAAATATTCGACGACACCCGGTGCGCGCTGGCGCAGGTAAATGAGAGTCGGGACGCAGGTAGGACGGGGCCCGGCCGGGCGCGAAAGCGAAAGGTCGGAACAGTTTCGTTCCGCTGAAATTATGTCCTGCCGGCCGTGCGGAATCTCGCCACCTCGGCGGGATCGGGATAGCTCGGTAGCAGGCCGCGATTTAATTAAGATACGAACAATCCGGGACGGCGAAGGAGGCCGGCACGCTCGATGGAAATATCGGAAAATATGAGGATCGTGCCGGCGTCGTCGCCTTCGTCATCGCGTCCGCAGTTTTCCAGCGGTTACTGGCGCTGCATAATAATAACGGGCATTCCCAGGATCGCGGTGGTGATACTCGTCGATAATTAAGTCGCGCGGACTTCGATCTGCGATTGCTGCACGCGGGAAGAGCCCCCGGTTTCACGACGATCGATGTCGAGCCGCGCGGAGGAACGAACGGGCTGCGCTCCCGTTGGAATTTAAGGGGATGCTGCAGTGATTCTGCAACTCGAAGTTATAGGCTTACAACTTATGCGAGTGAATACATTTTTTTGTTAGGCTTCTAAACTTAATTTCAATGACACCATTGCTGTTCTCTGCTTCAGTCCGAATACTCTGGAGAAAAAAAGGACAGCAACCCATTTTGGGTCAACAATTAGGAATCGAATTATTTGGATTGCTCGTAACTCTACTCTGGGAAAAGTTTTAACCGGTTTTTTGTAATTAAGCAACTTAAAATTTTGGTTAGTGCCTCTTAAGTGAAAATTATCTTTGCCTTACTGAATATCGACAGATCTAATTGAGAGAATTGATTAGTATTACTTAAAAATGTTGGATATAGACAGAGCAGCTAATTGAGATTTTTAGTTACGCGGGGTAAAATTCGTAAAAGATCCGAGTTACGAACAATCGAAATAATTCGATTGCTAATTGTGGGCCCCAAAATGGGTTGCTGTCTTTTTTTTCGCAGAGTAGTGGAACGCGCCTACATAACATCGGATGTTCTGTGTATATGCATTTTTCCTCCGTGACATGAAAAAAATATCCCGCATGTGAAATGTATATACGTCTCATATACATAATTTGGACATACATTGCAGTACACAATATGTATATTCACGGATGGATTCAATATGTATATACAGCGCCTGATATTAAATGTATATCCATTAGATGTCTGTAGTTTGTATATTCTTTGATGTTTTCACGAATTCACGGTTTTGGATGCAAAAAGTGCAAAAGGGTGCAGAATCACTCCGACATCCCCTTAAGCAATAGTCATAAATCGAAGCGGGGAGGAACGAAATATTATACATTCAACTTGAGTATTTTCTTGACCGTATATCTTGCACTTTTAATAATACAGAAAATATATTGCAGAAAAATATTACCTCGGCCAGAGTTTGAACCTGGACTTCTCTACACTCTAGGCTTGAAAATACTCAAGTTGTTAATTAATGCTGGCGACTTGAGGAATATTCTTATTAGTTGATTATACATTCGCTTTACGATTCCTAAAACCGATTTTACTTTTAATGCCGACCATTTTACGGTGCGTTGTTGCAGTTGGCGCGATGTACGTGTGCATGCTGTACGCCATTCTCTTCCTGAAGCTGTGGTCGTACGTGCAGGTGAACATGTGGTGCCGCCTGAGCAGCCGAAAGAAGACCACGCAGGGCAGAATGCGGCGTCAGTTGTCCGACAATAATCTGCAGTGTGAGTATACGACGAGTACATGTAATTTCCTCGCGTGTCATCCTATTAACGTCCCGTATATTTTCTTGATTATTCGTCGCGCGATAAACAATCGATATACTTAATATGCGGCGCACTCGCGACGCGAGGTACCACGCGGTTCAATTTTTACGCGAGGCGGGACGAACGGAGGGAGGAACATGGGGAGTCATTTTCATCGCACGGGCATACTCAGTTTATGATTTACTTCATGTGTTACCGTCCGCGCGCGATTCGCCACCGAAACTAAAAATGGCCGCGCACGAGGGCGTACATCATTCCCGACGTACGAGTGACCATTTTTTACGCGGCGCATTGTACGTCATGATAATTTTTTTTCGTTCTTTTTTTTTAACGATATTACGACGCTGTAACACGTCTCATCGGCGCCGCTCGGAGTCACACGTAACGGATTTCCGTACCGGATGGAAGCCGACCGGCGTAAATCTTCATCGTTACGTAACGTCGATGTGCACATACGCTCGCAGGTAATGCACACATCCAAATAGCGCAAACACGCCCTACGGAATCGGTAATCCACTGCACTCGCGGTATTTGCCCACTCCTGAAGGCGCGTCGCGGCGTACCGCGCACGTATATATGCGATTCGCTTACGCCCGCGTGCGCCTCGTTGTAAGAGC